TGAAAAAAAAATGAGAATACCTGATAGTGTGGTGGAGAAATGTTTTTGTTCTCGGAAATTCTAGAAAAACTTATCAATATAGTTTATTGTATGACAATATCTTAAGATATTGAGAGTTTTTGGATTTGTTTATTTCCTTACTCTCCTAACGGTTAAGTTTCAATCCTTTCTTCTGGAAGTGGAGGGGCGTGTATTCATGGTTCAACTCATTTCTTTCTGTGATTAAATGAGTGGCATATGTGGAATTCATTTTTCCATTCTGAAAACTATATTTGTGTGCCTTTATGCGGGCTTTCATTATGTTCAGTTCTTTATTGAAATTCGCCTCTGACAATCACACATTTATCAGTCTGTGGAGCATACTGTTGAAAGCTGCTACTTTGTGGTGATATGGGTGAGTGGACGAATTATTAATGATAATATCTGTCTGTGATGGTTTACGATAAATTGAAAAATCATGTTTGTTGTTAACTTTCGTTATTGTCAAGTCCAAAAAATGTATAGAGTCGCCCTTTTCCATCTTCATTGTGTATGTGATAGAACGGTGAAAAGAATTGATAAAATTCAAAAACTTAGTCAAATGTCTATTCGTTCATGTGAAACATACCGGGATATCATCAACATATCTATACCAATACACGAAACTTCTTACCACTGTATATTTTTCTCCCCAAATCGTTCATGAAAATCTCTGCCAGAAATTCTAGAAGAGTTATGATGTAGTGTTTGGAAATTTAATATCAACGTTTCTCACCTAAACCAAATTCTTCCTGAATATTCTTTCTATTCATTTGATATTTACCGATAAGATCATCAGAGAAAAATGTCAATAGTTACCGTGAGAGAAATATTGACCTCATAATCGAACTGCTGTCATTCTTGATATCAGTTTATGCAAGTTGATTTCCAAAAGTTTTCAGAAAAGCAACTACATTCCCCTCCACATAAGAAAGGGAATACTATAGAAGTAGATGAATATGTGCAAATTTCTTTGCTTTGATCTCTCTCAACTCTTTGAAAAATGGGTTAGTAATAGACACATAAATTACTTCGACATTAATGGTTGTGAATCGTTGAACTTTTCTTTTTAACACTAAACTACTAGGCCTAGGCTTCAGATCATTCATTGGGATATGCGAAATCATACGTGAAAAGTGGCAGTCTAATAGCTTTAACGGAATATCGTCAAGTCGTAAAGATATAGGCACTATATCAGTCCTTCAAGACTCTATACCACGTCAGGCGCGTATACAGCTTTCGTTTACAGGGGGGGTAATTGCGGAGAAAAATATTTTCACCATACCACCATTGTGGTATGTGGTATTCTATATGTAAAATTTAAAAATCTTCTTCAAAGATATGACTTTCTTCTGAAAGATGATTTGAATATGTTGAACTTGTTTTATTATTCACATAGCTCATATGATGTTCGTGGATACAACTCCTTAATGTTCAGCCAGTTCGACCAATATATACTTTGAAACACATTCCTCACTTTAATTTATATACAATCTTTATGCAATTTCAATATCTAGTTTATTCAAAAATGAAGCCACCTTTTTTTGTTGTTTGTTCAAAATATGTTTAAGCTCTTCTTTATTTGTTACGTTGCCGTTGTGAAAATGATATTTGTTTCAGTTTCAACGTATTTTATGGAACAAGAAAAATTTTAGAGCTATAATTCATTAGTTGCATTTACTTCTAAAGCAAATAAACTTTATCAGTGAAATATTACATGGAAACTCCAGTCCTCGTGCAAAATATTATCGAACTCCCTTTGGAAAGTTTCGCAACACGGGTGGAAGATGTACGTGTTTCGTTTTCAGAAAATAAATTAGGGACGCGGCATGAATATTTCTCAATAATAACAAAGGAAGTCCCTTTTTCGTAATTGGAACAGGCCTCCGAAACTGCGGATAAGGTATTCATTCGGTAACTCAATATGGTTACTGATTCAGATTTCTCAAAGCATGAGTTTATCGAATTTCGCAGTTTAATGGTGGAATTGCTCAAATTTATAGTATTATCCGATCAGAAACGTATTCATTTTGCTCTGGACCTGGCTGTTCTTTATTCGCAATCCAAATTAAGTTTTCAGGTCAGTCCGGCATGCTCTCTAGGACTGAAACTTGTAAGTTTGCGAGTTTATTTGGGCGTGAAATATAATCTAATCAGATCAGAAAGACGAATGAAGCTCATCAAAGGTTTATCTGAACTGAGTTGGAAGTTTCTCTTCGAAACATAGTTGAGTTAACACTTCAATGTTTCGGCACTACAGCAGTTTTTCGATGTGAATGAAGTGTTTTCAATTGAATTTTGTTTATTAGTATTCTCCATCCGTCCATTTATCAGAATCATATCATAGCTCACATCATAATTCAAATTGTCAACCTCCAATTGGTCTGGTTATGAAAATAGGGTTGACGACTATCATATTTTGGATCATTGTATGGAATATTGTAACTTCAAAATGAATTTCGAAGTGTGTCTTCTAGGTGGGCGTCCGTTAATCTCGAACGATATTTGTTTTTCAAAAAGTTAATCTTTGAGAAAGATGTTTCACATACATATGTCGGGTCAATCATAGTGACCAAATTTATAGCTAGTTTCTTGCAATTTTCATATTTTTCTGGAACATGTTTGGTTCAGTGGATACTGTTTTATATATTTGCAAAGACACAGATGTTTCACATACATATGTCGAGTCAACTATAGTGACCAAATTTATAGCCAGTTTCTTGCAATTTTCATATTTTTCTGGAACATGTTTGGTTCAGTGGATACTGTTTTATATATTTGCAAAGACACATCTTTTTGAAAATAAATTATCTCTATTTGAAGTGATGCCTTTGGCAGACACATCTGTCCATTCTGCTGCTACATCAACTTCAAATGACGATTTATGAACCGGAGATAGCTTGCCCATCTGTGCAAAGTCTTGGAATCTTGTAGCAAATTCGTTCCTAAGATCGGCCAGAAATTTTACAAACACTGCAATGTCTTCGTCAGAGTTCTTTTTATATTAAAGAATCGTGGGAATATTGATAAATTTTTGTCTTGCAATATCTTTTTCAAAACTATCCACTTTGCGACAAAAAGCAGACACGTTTTGTATTAGATCACATACTGATTTTCCATTTCCTTGTGATTATGTTTGTGCTTTCTGGCTCCCTCAACATCTAAGTTCTGCAAGAATAAGATTACTTCTTCTTTTATCAGCCAGAAACTTTCAATAACTTGACCTTTACTCAGCCAACGAACATTTTGTCGTGTTGCAGTTAAGTCAGAATAAGCTGTCAGAAAGAAACTCTTTGAAATGTCGGCGTTGAATAGCAGAATGAGATCTCATAAAATTAATCAACTAGACCAAGCTCTCCATCACTTCTTTCAGCACTAAGTTTTCCACAAACGGCTGCCTGGTGAATTATGCACTGATACAATATTAGACTTGAGTTTTCAACCCTGATTCTCTTTACTACGCCTTTTTCTTTGCCAATCAATGCTGGGGCCCTGCCAGTTGAAAGCGATATCATTTCATCTCAATTATATTAGATTCAGTAATAAATTCATCAATGACCTTGAATAAGTCTTCTCCTCGAGTGTAACCTTTCAACGGCAATATTGCTAGCAACTCTTCACTAAAAATATGACACTCAATATCAAGAAATCTTACGAAATGTCACATGCTATGGCCTTTTACAGGAGTTTAAGAAGAGTGTTTTCAATATTAGCAGCAAAAATTTCCGTTTTCCGTGTATTAATTCTCGCTACTAATGAAATACTTTGAAATGCAGCAACAATATCTTTTTTTTTTCAAAAAGTGCCGTGACTACTTCTTACATACATTATTTCACCATCTCAGAATCTGAAAATGGTTTCTACTGTTTATTAAGCGTCCACCACACACGAAGCGCTGCTTTTGTGGATTTTTCTTGCTCGTTTATGCAACGAACTAGTAATTCTGTGTTTTTTATTGTGAGACCTCTGATTGAAGTTTTCTTTGCGAGCCTTACTGCCAAGAGAAAAGTTTACAATATTCTGCGAGGAACCTCCTATTTTCACTGTCCACTTCACGCTTTTTAGAATCCATAGTAGCATAGGTACGAAAATATTATGAAAACGCGAAAAATCACAAAACAAATGAATCGTTGCTCCGCGGTTTGCGTTACTACTGAGAGTCTGCTTTCCCCGCCTACACGCTCGCATACCCGATTTTGATACTCGCTCGCGCTTGTTTCATCAAAACAAAATAGTGGCAAGCGTGCACAAACACACATACACACAGGGTAGATAGGAAACTAATAAAACCATATTAGCTGTAAGTACTTGTGAAACAGGTTGAGTAGTCAACTTGAAATAAAATAAGAACATACTTATGAATTCTATGTGACTTAATTCAGTTGATACGTAATACGTATTAATACGTATCTACGTATTAATTTTTATACTTGGTATATAACACATTACAATATTTGCCGGTCCGATGTTCGACTTTTCGCGGCCCGCAAGCGAGTCCGTTTGGTGGAAATCCGCCTTAACTCTTATTGGTTGGGTGATCGATGATTTGAATCACATAACAAACATCCCAATTGTCGCGGTGGTCCACGATTTGGACCAGCTACAGTAAACATTTTCACAGCTGGAATGGTGGTTCATTTTGTCGTTCACCATCGCTAATGCTTCCGTAGGTTGCTACGTGACATCATGATTTTAGCGCGAGCTTGGTTTTCCTATCGAGGCTCAGTCTCCCGAACTGCGGATTGGAGGTTAGGTTCATTGTTTAAATCGAATCACAGTTATCAGTGAAGTAACGCAACTTGTTGTTATATACATATTTAAATATTGTTCTTTTCTATACTGTTGGTGAGTACAATCCATTCTTCGTTTGAAAATTGTCTTAGAAGTTTGAAAAATTATTTAGATTTGGTTGTAATTTTTTTGGACCACCGATCCACTGCAACGTAAAATATTTTTCATATTACTGGATAGTTTTCAGGATAATGGCAAATAACAAAGAAGAAAGATCATTCAGATTAGTCGGTATGACCTCGAAGGAATTTGATGAACTGCTGGACGATGCTTACGTCGACTCTTTACCATCTGATAATGAGTCAGTTATATTTGATGCTATAGATTCAGACGAAAATAATAATCATGACGAAATTGCCGGTGAAATGTTGCTGATGGACAGTGAAGATGAATTACAACAGGAGGACTCTGAAGACGATATGCCCTTATCCATGCTGCGCACCAATCTGAAGAAACGAATAGAGGAAAAAAATATGACACATGTGTGGGGTGAATTGAATAGGCCAACATCGCCACCGTTATTCGTAGCTCAGTATGGTGTTCCAGGTGTTTTGAAGAATTCCGCTGACATGACACCATATCAACTATTTCAGTTATTTTTCGCAGATGACTTCATCGATCATTCAGTATTTCATACTAATCTATATGCAGAACAACAACATTTGGCAACAGGAAAAAGCGCAGAACAACAACATTTGGCAACAGAGAAAAGCTATACTAATATAAATATTGAAGAAATGAAGGCGTTCTTGGGGGGAATAAAACGGCAGCCAAGCTATGAGGACAACTGGGCAAGTGCTCCAGAACTTCATGATACTTACATGAGTTCAATTATGACCTTGAAAAAATTCAGTTGGCTCTTGTCACATCTACATATGAACGATAATTCTATGATTCCCTCACGTGATTCAACATTGCATGATGAACTTTATAAAGTACATCCAATGTTGGATCACTTCACACAAAAATTTGAAAAGTGTCTGCTGCCCAATGAAGAATTAGCCCTAGATGAATCTATGATCAAATTCAAGGGTAGGAGTACGATGAAGCAGTACATGTCCAAAAAACCCATCAAGAGACGGTACAAAGTATGGATGCTCTGTGATAAATCAGGGTATTGCTTGAAATTTGATATCTATACCGGAAAATCCTCCACAGGGGATGTGGAAAAATGTTTGG